GATCTCTTGACCTCGTGATCCACCTGCCTCGGCCTCCCAAAGTGCTGGGATTACAGGCTTGAGTCACCGCGCCCGGCCCATATTCTTAACTCACCTAACAAAAAATGATACATTTGAAAATGAACTTTTTTAGTTGTAATTGCAAATTCTAACAAGATAAAGTTAGTTACATAAAACTTTTTCCTCTTTTTGGCTGTAAAATGTGACTCAAACTTGGTAACTTTTTTCCCGTGATGTATTGGTTTGCTACAACTGCTGTAATAAAGTACCACAGACTTGGTGGCTTAAACAACAGAAATTTGTGGTATCTTCTTATCATTTTCCCCTATGCCTTGTCTCTGTGTGCACATTTCACCTTTAAAACTTTTCCTTTTAATTTTTATAATTTTCTTATTTTTAATTTTTGTTTATACATAGTAGGTGTATATATTTATGGGATACATGAAATTTTTTGAGAAGTTTCCTTTTTTTTATAATGATACTAGTTAGAATAGATTAGAGTCTACCCTAATGACCTCATTTTGATGTAACTAACTTATATCTGCAACAACCAAGTAAAGTCACATTCTGAGGTATAGGAGAGGAGGTTAGGCCTTCAGCATGAGAATTTGTGGAGACACACTTTAATCTATACACATGAGAAAAATGTCTCCATTTTATGTCTTCTTAATATAGTGTTGCTAAAACATAATCCTATTTTACGTAGCATCAAATGTTAAGTTTATGTTTTTTGATTTGTTTTTGGCTAAGACTGGTTCCATGTGAAGAGAGGCATTTAAAACATACCCTGATTTTTAAAAAATCACATACAGTAAGATGACAGACATGGGGACAACTGCCTTTGCAAAAATAGTTTATTACTCCCATTTTCCAGCAGCAGGGAGCATGCCACACCATACAGGGCCTCATGGGAAGTATCAAAATTTGGTCAGGAGGCAGGGGTGCCTAGAGAGAAGGGAAAAAGCCCATACCCAGACCCTGTATCATGTTTTCTCTAGGAAAGGCAAAGCCAGGCTGGGGAAACAATTTAGGATTGTCTAGTTGGAATAATGTTGCCAGGCTCCAGGCTATGGGGCAGTCTCTAGTTGTCTGGTCCCCAGGTTGGTTTAGGGCAGGGGAAATAATGGTTAGTGTATGAGAGTTAGATGAAGATGGTAATTGGGGATATGAGCTATGGATTGGTTGGTTGCCTATAAATGGCATGTTTATTGGCAAGTTGTTTACTGCTTTAAGAATTAGCTAGCTGTAGGAGGGGCTCTCCCCAGTCAACTGCAGCTAGCTCCCCTACCCCAGTATGTTGGAGCATAATAAAATATACAAAATAAAAACATTAAAATAAGAGGCAAGACACAAAAGATTACGTATCATGTGGTTCCATTTATATTCAGTTTCTGGAATAAGTAAGCCCATAGACACAGAAAGTAGATTTCTATTTGTGTTAGAGGAATGGGAGGTGAGGAGGGGGATAGCTAAAGGTTATGGGGTTTCTTTTTGACATGATAAAAGTATTCTAAAATTGACTGTGGTGGTTACACTTGTCTATGAATATACTAAAAGTTATTGATTTTTACATTTTGTATGGGTGAATTATATGGTTTATGACTGTATCTCAATAGAACTTTTTTTTTTTTTAAAGATACAGTGGTGGGGTCAGAAGTCAAAGTGAATTAGATGACATTTTTCTTTCTTATTCAGGAATCAGTTGAATGATGAAGATCCTTAGTCTGATCCACTCCAGGAGAGATCTCAGCTCATTCCCATCTGTTGCCATTTGGAATATTAAATAGTTTGTGAAGGATAGAAACTAAATCTGTGCAAGAACATATAGAGTCAGAATGGCCACGCTCCTACACCTTCCTCCTCCCCACTCAGTTCTTCCCCAAGTCATTCTTCAATTCCAAGGCCAAGGTAAGCTAACAGTGGAATATAAGTATGGACTATTTTTCTGTCTGTCCTGAATGCCAGCACTTTAGGAGTAGTTAAAATGTGATTCAGTAACATGAGAATATTAGAAAACCTGGTTGTAGGCTACAGTGTCATATACTAAATAATATCCTTGGTGTTACCCTAGAGAATACCCAGTCTTCATGAGTTAAATACATCTCTACTGTACCTACTGTGAAATACTGGACGCTGAGTTGCCCATGTGGGAAGCAGCTGAATTATAAATCACCACCTACAATTTAGAGGGAATATAGATAGATCTGATGCTTGCTTTTTGTTGCTGTTGTTGTTGTTGTTGAGACAGAATTTTTCCTTCCAGCCCAGGCTGGAGTGCAATGGCACAATCTCAGTTCACTACAACCTCCGCCTCCCGGGTTCAAGCAATTCTTCTGCCTCAGCCTCCTGAGTAGCTGGGATTACAGACGTGTGCCACTGCACCTGGCTAATTTTGCATTTTTAGTAGAGAGGGGGTTTCGCCATGTTGGTCAGACTGGTCTCGAACTCCTGACCTCAAGTGATCCACCCACCTCAGCCTCCCAAAGTGCTGGGATGACAGGCCTGAGCCAGTGCCTCCAGCCAATGCTTGCTTTTAAACACAGTTGGCTTTTCCTAGTCATCATATCATCCGTATGTCTATGTAGGACATGTCTTTCCCAGGCAATGTCACAGGCCTCTGATGCATAATCTTAGTAGGTCTAAAGGAAAGTTCTAACGTGGAGTGTCCCTGGGCCTATAAGTGTAAATTCACACTCTCCTTGGATTATAATTTAAATCATATGATACAAAAGACATTAAATTGCATGAAACTCTTCAACCATATCTTATGCATTAGTGTAGCTGATAAATTATCAGCGTATTCTCGTATCATAGTGCATTATATTAGCTGTATTTCTGTTATTGACTGGATTGCGTCCTCCCCAGGAATTCATATGTTGAAGCCATAACCCCAAGTGTTACTGTATTTGGAAACAGGGTCTTTACAAACTAATTAAGTTAAATGAGGTTATAAGGCTAGGACCCTAATTGGATACTAGTGTGGCCTTGTAAGAATTAAAAAAGAGATCTTCCCCTCTCTGTCTCTTCACCATATGAGGTCACAGCAGGAAGGTGGCCATCTGCAAGCCAGGAAAAGAGCCCTCACTGAAACCTAATCATAATTGCACTCTGATCTCAGATTTCTGGTCTCTAGAACTATGAGAAAATAAATGTCTGGGCCAGGTGTGGTGGCTCATGCCTATAATGCCAGCACTTTGGGAGTCTGAGGTAGGCAGATTACCTGAGGTCAGGAGTTTGAGACCAGCCTGGCCAACATGGTGAAACCCTGTCTCCACTAAAAATACAAAAATTAGCCAGGTGTGGTAGCATACACCTGTGGTCCCTGCTACTCATGAGGCTAATGCAGGAGAATCATTTGAACCTGGGAGGTGTAGGTTGCAGTGAGCTGAGATCATGCCACTACACTCCAGCCTGGGCGACAGTGTGAGACTCTTCTCCAAAAAAAAAAAAAAAAAAAAAAAAAAAAAGAGAAACGTCTGTTGTTTAAGGTATCCAGTCTGTAGTATTTTGTTAACGGCAGCCTGAGCTACTTACACATTTTCTATTTATCTACTTGTTTACCGTAAAGGTTAATGTTTTAAATTGTGAACTTTATGATTCTGGACAGCATATTTACTTTGTTATTTTAATGCAGATTTGGCATGGTACTTGGCACATAATAGAAACTAAAGAAATTGGTGGATTAATCGTAAAAACAGCCAAAGATCAAGCTCTGGAATATTACTGTGATTTAATCTCAGAAATTTCTGGTTTGAACATTGGCTGTCAAGATTTCATTTGTTAAAAAAAAAAGGTTAAAGAGCTATAAAGTCTAGAGAGGACAGAGGGATTATTTTACACAGGATAGTCAGGGGAGGCTACTTTGATAGGTGGCATTTAGCAGTGAGGCTTCCTGATCTCATCATGACTGTTCTGCTTGGCTCAGATTCCAGCTCTGTCCACTGTAGTTGAGGAATTATCCTTAGATAATGGGGAGGTAAAGAGGCTCGGCTTGTTAATAGGCTCCCCTCTCACATGAGTCTTAGTCATGCATGGCTTTTTGTCCACTGCCTGAAAACTGCCCCCGATGTAGTTTAATTTTATAGTGTGCTATTGTGCCGTGCTCCAACCCTTTCAACTCCAAAAGGGATGGCACTATATGTGAGATGGAACTTACATACGGAGTGATCCAGAGGTGGTAGGCTGAACAGAACTGCCGCTGCTTACAGAAAGCATGCACTTTATATAGCATTTTCACTTAACATTCTTCTCCTAACAGCATCTACGTGGCAACCCTCATTTAATCCAAGACAAAAAGCCTCAATCCTCCATAGGGCCAGTGTTCCACAGGACAGGACAGGGACTCAGATATTCGTCATAGATAAAGGTGAATCTCCTGGTTGGCCATATTTGGAACTCTGAACATGCATTCAGGTGCGTCGGCCATACTGGGTCATTTTCAAAGTATGCTGAAGTTATTCTGCCAGCTGTGTCTACCATACACAGTTGCATCTGTCGTATACTATAATAGGAAGACTTGTCTAGTACAAGTTTATCATAGCCCAAAGCAGAACTCGTATTTTTGAGTATTGTTTGAAGGGGTTAAGCAGAGAGAATTGAGTCAGGAGATCACCAGGGAAGTATACAGTTTATTTATAGGATTTCAGATGCCTGAATATTGTGATGACAGAATAAAGTCCTTTTTTTTTTTTCTTTTCTTGCGCCCTTCTCACTTTCTATATTGCTTATAGAGAATAAAGTTCTTGTGGAAGGAATATTTTCAGAGGATTTGAGAGCATGGTGTTGAAGAGTTAAGGAAACAGCATATATTACCTTTTAGTGCTAGATGCTTACATGCAAATGAATCATCCTTACACTGTCACAAATGTATGCTTCTCTCTCCCACCCTTTCACTTACCAGTCACATCCCACTATTCCTGGAGCCTCTCCTACCCTGAGGTCAGGTATGAACCTTGGTGTGTAGTTTGGCTCAGAGGCTTACGATCAATAACCCAGTTGTGTACCAGGTTTCTTTATATCCTGAAGTTATCTACTGAACACTTGAAAAATAAATTAACTTCAGCAAATTATAGAAACTAGGAGACACTGCTAGCTACCCTTTGACAAACATTTACTCAGTGCTGTGTGCTGGCTTATTTGCATTGTGTTTTGCAAAAGTCTTAAAATCACAGTCATATCTAGATTTTTGTTCAAGTGATTCTCCTGGCTTAGCCTCCTGAGTAGCTGTGATTACAGGCAGCTGCCACCATGCCTGGCTAATTTTTGTATTTTTAATAGAGTTGGGGTTTCACCGTGATGGCCAGGTTGATCTTGAACTCCTGGCCTCTATGGTAGATACATTCCTATGGAAGGCAAGCGTTTCATAAATAGAGTCTCCTAACATCATTTGGACTTCTTCTGTGTTTGTCCCTACTGCTAATCTGCCTTGAACAGTGAACTGGAAAGTTTAGGCAGTATAGTGGAGTGGTTAAATTTTTTTTGGTCTGGACTCCAGTGCCTGTTGTTCTTTGCTTTGTTTTGTTTCTGAGACAGCATCTTGCTCTGTTGCTCAGGCTAGAGTTCAGTGGTACAACCACAGTTCACTGCAGCCTCCAACTTCCTGGGCTCAAGTTATTTTCCTTCTCTCAGCCTCTGGAGTAGTGGGGACTACAGGCATACTATTATGTATAGTTAATTCTTTAAATGTTTTGTAGGGATGGGGTATCACTGTGTTGCCCAGGCTCATCTTGAACTCCTCAACTCAAGTGGTCCTCCCGTGTCGACTTCTTAAAGTGCTAAGATTACAGGCCTGAGCCACCACACCCAGCCTCCATTGATTTCAATCCCAGACCATTCTTGCATAATATATTTGAGTGTCAAGTTTGCCTTCTGTTAAATAGGACTATCCCTAGTACCTGTCTCATAGTGATACTGTGAGGGTTGGATAGTAACAATGACAGCAAAAATGATACCTAACACACTAAATAATTTCTTAGATGCCAGACGTTGTTTCAGAATTTTACATGTATATCTCATTTAATACCCAGTGCATCTCTTGAAGATGGGCAGTTCTTTCCTCCTACCCTACTATTACCTCAGATCATATAGGTGGAAGTGGTGTTCTTCCTACTCATTGCTACTCCCAAAGCATTCGTTTTTCATTTTTTAACTTAATTCCCTTGACTCTCATATTGTGTGACTGGGAAAGGAAACCTGATGGCACCTGGCACATGACAGTAGACTACAGGCAATTAAAGAAGGTGTTTGCTGAGATATACCCTGCTGTGTCTAATATAATCTAAGTGACAGAACAACTATACAAACTATCTATTAGATTTAGCCAATGCTCTTCTCTTAGCCAATGCTCTTTCTTCTTTTCTTTTCTTTTCTTTTCTTTCCTAAGAAGAGGTTTGGCTGTAGTACAGTAGCACCATCATAGCTAACTGCAGCCTTGACCTCCGGGGCTCAAGTGATCCTCCAGCTGCAGCCTCCTGGGTAGCTGGGACTACTCAGGAGGTATGCCATCAAGATGCGCCACCAAGCCCGGCTAACTTTTTTTGTTTTCTGCAGAGATGAGGTCTAGCTGTGTTGCCCAGGCTGGTCTTAAACCCTTGACCTCAAGTGATCCTCCCGCCTTAGCCTCCCAAAGTGCTGAGATTACAGACACATACTAGATTTGTCTACCTCATTCTTTGGTTTTTCGACTCCTTCTGTGTTTGGGGACTGCTTTGCATATACAACCCTTTCACAAAATAGATCCCACAAAACCATTGACTTAATTCTGTACATCCAGCTAAAATCACGTGTACTAGCTGGTAAGACAGACCAAAAGTAATTAAAAGAGAAATCTTCTATAGACATTTGATATTCTACAAGGAGAGTGAGTTCTACCATCTTCCATGCCAGGATTTCCCCATTGAAGCAGAACCTACAGGTAGAGCAGGTAAAGAAAAGTGGACTCGTAGGTTTTCAATGACAGACATTATTTTTGTCTTTGCAACCACTTATTGTTAATGTTTTCCTGCTTAATTTAACCTAGAGCTGACCTTGTGGCCGAATACCCAGAAGGGTATAAGAGAAGGTGTTCTGGAAAAGAAAGATCTATCTTGCTCTGACAGAGTAGAGATCTACAGAGGGATATCCCTGGCCATATGTAGCCTCCTGCTTTCTGCCTTTGGATGAGCTGAGAGAACCTACCCACAACGAATGCAGTTGTCTAGCAACCACAAGAAGAAGGC